TGGAGCCGGATGAGTATTGTCAGGCTACTTAGCATTATATGAAGCTGGATAAGTATTGTCAGGCTACTTAGCATTATATGGAGCCATATGAGTATTGTCAGGCTACTTAGCATTATATGAAGCCAGATAAGTATAGTTTGGCTACTTAGCATTATATGGAACCGGATTAGTATAGTCAGGCTACTTAGCATTATATGGAGCCTGACAAGTATTGTCAGGCTATTTAGCATTACGTGGAGCCGGATGAGTATTGTCAGGCTACTTAGCATTATATGAAGCTGGATAAGTATAGTCAGGCTACTTAGCATTATATGAAGCCGGATAAGTATAGTCTGGCTAATTAGCATTATATGCAATTAGTTTTTCATCTTCGCCTCTGATTAAGTTATTGTGCAAAACGTTTTTAAATGACCATTGACTGGAAATTTGATAAAGATCTTGACAAATATTACAAACCTAAAATTTAAAAAAATACAATTGTATTAGAGATTGAGAAAAATGTTGTGTGTTGTGAGAGGAGGGCTTTATTACATAAAGACAATAAGCTACATGAGCATGAATGGACGAGTTAGAGAACAGGAACTTATCATTTGTAACTAGAGAAAAAAGCAAAGTCAGAGAACTGTACTTGTATTCAAACCTTACATTTACACTGTAACCTTTGTTTACTGTATGCAGAGGCATACAGTATACAAAGGTTACTAGTTAAAAGATATCTAGAAGATAAAAGAAGCCTATAGTATATAAAAAGTACGTTAGGTAAATACAAACACGCTGACTTGGAAAGTGATTTTTAAATACTTGTTTCAATCTATTTTTCAAAACCACGTAGTAGTAGAGCGGCTAACGGTCAAGCTGTTGTGAACCCTGTTCGCCATCACAGTATAGCCCTTGACTCAAAACAAACTGACTGAAAAATAACAAAAAATATTTAAAAATGACGTTGAATTTGACGATAGAGCAATCATTAAAACGATTTTATATATGTACTGAAATAACAAGTAGCATAATTTAATTAATACTCCTAGTTTGATATATGCTGTTTTGAAAGAGTTATAGATTACATTTGCTGTCTGATATTTAGATGACAGTAACTGAGTCCACTAAAGGCATTGTACACATAAATTGAACTGTGTAATTGTTTGGCCAACTTATCAAGAAAGAATAGTCTAGACATACATTGACATGTAGGTGTTTGACCGCTTTATCAATGTCTTTAACGAGGAAATTGTCTGGACATACCAAGAATCGTGGAGTGTTTGGTCATTTTTTTAATGTCATAAACAAGAGATACGTACAGAGAGAGACGTACATCTGTTGAGTTTTTGACCACTTTATCAATGTCCGTAAGAAAGAATTTTCTAGTCATAAAATTGATCTGTAGATTTCTTTAGCCGTTTTATTAATGTTCTTAAGAAAGAATTGTCTAGTCATAAGTTCACTTCTGGATTTGTTTGGCCACTTTATCAATGCCCTTAAGAAATAGTTTGATATACGTTGCTTCGCTTTATGTTTTTTAATGAAAGAAAATGTTTGGTAAATATGTAAAGGACTTGTGAACAAACCTGAGAAATGACTAGTCATTTTAAATATTCTTATTAGAATATGTAGGAGAATTTCGCCCACTTTATTCGTGTTTTCATAATAAAAAGTGGGAGATGTTCTGTTACCTATTAATGGGGTCCGGCATGGCCAGGTGGTTTAGGTGCTTGACTCGCAATCTGAGGGCCGCGGGTTCAAATACCCGTTCCATCAAATATACTCGCCCTTTTAGCCCTGGGGTCGTTATAATGTGACGGTCAATCCCACTATTCGTTGGTAAAAGAGTAGCCCAAGAGTTGGCAATGGTTGGTGATGACTAGCTGCCTCCCTCTAGTCTTACACTGATAAATTAGGGACGGCTGGCGCAGATAGCCCTGGTGTAGCTTTGCGCGAAATTCAAACCCAACAAACAATTTTTGTTTCAAGACGTAATTCAAACAGGGAGTCGGTGAAATAACAAACTCCATGTCGAAAGAAATTTGAAGAATTATCCATTGTTGTTTTGCTTGACCTCTTAGGTCGACCTAAGACATGACAAGGAGGTACCAGGGACTAATCTGGTGGAAATTGGTATCGATCTTAGTGATTTCTACCTGAGTGTGGAGTGGGACGTTCTGGAAGTTCCTGCAGTCCGAAACGAGAAATATTACACCTGCTGTGACGAACCTTACATTGACATCACTTTCAACATCAGCATGCGGCGTAAAACATTATTTTACACTGTCAACCTGATCATTCCCTGTATGGGGATTTCGTTCCTCACAGTGTTGGTGTTTTATCTTCCTTCGGACAGTGGTCAGAAGGTAACTCTGAGCATTTCCATTCTGCTGGCTCTGACGGTGTTTTTCCTCTTGTTAGCGGAAATCATTCCTCCGACTTCACTAACGGTACCGTTATTAGGCAAGTATTTATTATTTACTATGATTCTAGTGACGCTTTCCATATGTGTGACCGTGGTAGTACTGAATGTTCATTTTCGCACAAGCTCCACTTATCGCATGAGTCCTTGGGTAAAACGTGTCTTCATGCAGATGTTGCCTCGACTTTTACTCATGCGCAGACCATCAGATTCGGCCTCTGAGTCCCGCAAGGTTATGATTCGTACCTGTAACGGAACAGAACTTAAGGACTACAACTCTCAAAATGACTCCTACAGTAGAAGACAAAGCTATGACATGGAATATGGGTCCGAGAATAGCTACCCAGGATGCAGAATTCATGGAAACGGCGGGCACGTGCACGCAGCAGTGCCCAATCCGATGATGTCAGGTGAACCCATGGTGCAAGAGCGTGAAAGAGGTCCAGGACTAAGAAGGCTGCACTTCTGTCCGGAATTTGAAAGAGCCATGGAGTCCGTGCACTACATAGCAGACCACACGAGAAGATATGAAGAGCATATTAACGTAAGTTTGAAAACAATTTTGCTTTGTTAATGTCAAAGGTATTTATAAATGAAACATTGCATTTCTTATTGTGTTTGTAATCCACTAATGTAACATAGTTCTAAATAAATCAATATCACTCTAATAGATCCCTCAACAGATGAACGTTCCATCAGCCCATTGTTATTTATATAGCAGTGTACACATCACGCTCCTAAAAAATCAGACAAGTCATAATTATCGTATACCCATTGTCAGCGTTTTTTGTTTGTTTGCTTTTTTTCAAGTAGGATTATAAAGCCGAAATGAATGTAGTTTTTTTAAATATTTGTTGAAGTTTCAAAGGCTGGTCGACTCCTCATTAGATAAAAATGGTATGAGTACGAACTTCGAGAAAACCTGGTATAATTTTTATCTACAGGGATATTCTACTTAATTGGCGAACATAAAACGTAGGGCAATCTTATTTTGCCATCACTTACTGAAATCAGAATTCCTATGATTGATCTTTACAGAAGGCCACAGATTTTATGCAAATTAGTTTTACATTCTCTATGCCATCACGTATCTTTCACCTATCGAACACTTTATCTAATCAATCACTTTTAATAAATTCTGGAATCAATTACCGTATTGTTCGGTGTATAAGACGCATTTTTTTACCCCAAAATTTGATGTCAAAATCTGCTTGCGTCCTATACAACGAAGGTATGAATAATATATATGTATATATACGATATATATAAGCCATGTGTAAATATATTTAAATAGGCATGCATAGTTTAGTTCAATTGAATGTGTTATTTATAACAATAGTAGTTTTTTTTCTTTTAAAAACATAACTATTGATAATGCTCCCTAAATATTAAAATAAATTACAGTGAAAGCAATGAAGATTTTGTAGGTTTTGAACCAAACTAAATAACAGTAAACCTTTTTTGATTTACGGTATTTTCTT